AAAAAAAAAAAAAAAAGAACACATAACTGTACTACATGCAGTTTTCAGTGAACTTTCCCAGACAACCGGCTATGAAATTTGATGGCATATCTCATGATTCTCTATCCTCCCCCCAGCTCATCCTCGTTTCAGAAGTCCTAGAAATAACTGGGATATAGGGACAGAAATTCTTACCATTTGACTGTTGTCATGGATGCTGTGACGTGCTGCCTCCCTAGATTCCCTGCTTCAGGATGGAGGCAGTCATTCTCTCACCTGCTGGGAGAGTCAACTGATAGCTCTCAGATGAGCATTTCTCTAAGAATTGCCCTTCCTCAGCTGAAGAAAGCTGCCTTACAGCCATTTCTGATGACTGACCAATGATGGGTGGTGGTGGGAGAGAACCCAAGTGTTTAGGTGTTCAGTGAGCAGACTGTGCTAGGGAGGTGTGGGCTCCAGGTTCCAAAGAAGCTAAAGATGCCAGGACAGGTCTAACTCTGCCCCTCGGTGGCCCCTCCAGCCATTGCAGGCATTCCAGCCCCCCTTGCTTAGCCTTCCTCCAGACAGATACTGCACCCAGGAGTGTGGGAGCCAGGTGTGGGGTCCCCACCAAGGCTGAGAGGGAGGACGAGGACCTCACTGACTTTAAAGAGTTAGGGAGATACTGGTCAGAACTGTTTGCCTTCACCTCTAGCTGGTGGAACAGCAGCTGCAGGCGGAAGTATTTTATGATGTGTGGCTGTATGCCAGGAACAGTCCTATTTAGCCATTAAGATGTAAAACAACACAGTTTTACAGGATGTTTTAGCCTTTGTTTTTATTGTGGCTTTCTTACTAAGTGCCAGACACCATGCCAAAAGTTAGGCGTGCACTATCTCTTTTAATCTTTACTATAGCCCTTTGACACCAGCCTTCAATGAACTGATTGGAAAACTGAAGTTCAGAGAGATTAAGGAATTGCCCCTGGAATTCACCATAATTAAGAACATCTAGCAAGTGGAAGGCAGGTATATCAGGAATTTCAGAGTCTTGACTCAAGCTGCTCTCTGCTGACTTGCCATGATGCTGTAGCCCACCGGAATCACTACCCAAAGAGCTTGTGTGACAAGCTTAAAAAGATCTAGCTGCAATCTTCCTAGCAGCAGCAAGGCCTAGCCTAGTGTTTTGTACATAGGAACTAAATGGAATTAAAAGGTGCTGACAGATCTCTTCATCTATCGTTAAAGTATGGGGTCTTGTGTTGGGACAGACCAAAAAAAGGCAGAGTCAACTTTTTATTCACACCATGGAAAAGAACTGAAGTCCCATCCTCATTCATCAGAGTCTTCTAGTTCCTGTGATAAAGCAGAACTTGCAAAATCGGATCCCAAGGTGACGTGTTTTTCTTGAACTGAAAGTACAAATGAGTCAAACGTTGTCACTGCTGTCTGAAACAAGTGGTTAGGTGGGCACATTTACCTGCGGGAACAGCCTCCTTCTGAGCCAGTCCCTTGCCGCAGCCTGCTGCCTGCTTTGGCTCCCCACGGTGTCCCCAGCTGCTGACACGCTTCCTGGCACGTAGGAGACTCTGGATAAATCGGTGTTGAAAGTCAATGAGCTGTTCTGAGCAAAGTCTCAGGGTACTGGGATTGGGATAGAGAACACCCACTGAGCATCAGTACTATGCTAAATGTTGGGGGTACAAAGGTGGATTCAGTAAGCTACAAACTTTGCCGGGCCCAGTGCAAAATGGAAATGAGGGTCGCCTGCACCTCATTCAGATATTAAGAATTTCAAGACAGTGACAGCAGAGCGTTAAACCAAATGTGGGGCTCTTCTGAGTAAGGGTCTTGTGTGACTGAGTAGGTTCCATGCCCAGGAAACTGGCCCTCTGTGAATTAGAAAGTTTCTGTTATCAAACGGTTCTCAGCTCAGTGGGCAAGAAAAAAAGCCTACACAATGATGATTTGGTGTGATAGTGTGTTTTGGGAGGGGGTGTGAGCGTTATGAGAGCAAAGACTCATTTAGACCTCACACAGGTATTATAATCTCCTTTGTTTAACCTAAAATACTTTTACCGTATTACCTGTTTAATGCCTTATCGAGGTATAATTCACATACCATGCAAGTCGATTCACCCATTTAAAGTATACCATTCAAATGGGGCCCCCACGGGCGCCTGGGTGGCTCAGTTGGTTGAGCGACTGCCTTCGGCTCGGGTCATGATCCTGGAGTCCCGGGATCGAGTCCCGCATCGGGCTCCCTGCTCGGCAGGGAGTCTGCTTCTCCCTCTGACCCTCCTCCCTCTCGTGCTCTCTGTCTCTCATTCTCTCTCTCTCAAATAAATAAATAAAATCTTAAAGTGTACCATTCATCAGTTTTTAGTATACTGACAGAGATATGTAACCATGACCACAATCAATTTTAGAACATTTTCATCCCTCCAAAAGACACCCCACTCTCAGGAGCAGTCACTCCCCATTTTCCTCCACTCCTCCCAGCCCAAGGTCACCGCTAATTTTGTTTCTCTCTCTCTTTGTGAAATAAATAAATAAAATCTTTTTCTTTTTTAAAGATTTTATTTATTTATTTGAAAGTGAGAGCGAGCAGGAGAGGAGGGGGGAGGGGCAAAGGGAGAGGGAGAAGCAGGCTTCCCGCCGAGCAGGGAGCCCGATGCGGGGCTCGATCCCAGGACTCTGGGATCATGACCTGAGCCGAAGGCAGACGCTTAACGACTGAGCCACCCAGGCGCCCAAAGATTTTATTTATTTATTTGAAAGTGAGAGCGAGCAGGAGAGGAGGGAGGAGGGGAGGGGGGAGGGGCAAAGGGAGAGGGAGAAGCAGGCTTCCCGCCGAGCAGGGAGCCCGATGCGGGGCTCGATCCCAGGACCCTGGGATCATGACCTGAGCCGAAGGCAGACGCTTAACGACTGAGCCACCCAGGCGCCCAAAGATTTTATTTATTTATTTGAAAGTGAGAGCGAGCAGGAGAGGAGGGGGGAGGGGCAAAGGGAGAGGGAGAAGCAGGCTTCCCGCCGAGCAGGGAGCCCGATGCGGGGCTCGATCCCAGGACTCTGGGATCATGACCTGAGCCGAAGGCAGACGCTTAACGACTGAGCCACCCAGGCGCCCTGCTAATTTTGTTTCTGTCTCTATAGATTTACCTATTCCTAAGAGTGGAATTGTTGGTGATGCTGTGTTACTCAATTAAATAACAGCTTCATTGAGATATCATCATATATCATAAAATCTGCCCTCTTAAAATGTACAATTCAGTGGTTTTTTTAGTATATGCACAGGGCTGTACAACTGCTACTGTCTAATTCTAGAACATTTTCATCATCCCAAAAAGAAATCTCATACCCCTTAGCAATCATACCCTCCAGGCTCTGGCAGGCACTAATCTGCTGTCTGTCTCTATGGATTTGCCTATCCTGGAAATTTCATATAAATGGAATCATCCTATAATATATGATGTTTGTGTCTGACTTCTTTCACTTAGCATAATATTTTCAAGGTTCATCCATTTTGTAGCACATATGTAATCTCCTTTTCATAGATGAGGAAACCAAGACTCTGGGAAGCTAAATGATTTGCTCAAGGTCACATAGGTGGTAAGTAGAAATATTAGGGTGACCTTAGAGCCAGTTTGCCCAGGGCTGTCCCAATTTTAGCACTGAATGTCCCATTCTTGGGAAATCCCTTGGTCCTGGTCAAACCGGGACAGGTGATCACCCTGGGTGGGATTCAGCCTAGTCTGCCTGCGATACAACTTTGTGTGATAAAGAGGTGCAGGATTCTCCAGGTGAAACCAAACCAGCATATCCTAGAATAGTGTAGAAAACTTGGACATTATCTCAATACCCTTTAAACCAATCTTTGTGCTCCTTTCATTTATGTATCTAAGTCTCCACTTTAATATTCCCCAACGTTTGATCTCAGGATTGTAAGTTCGAGCTCCATGTTGGGTGTAGAGATTACTTAAAGATAAATTTTTTTTGAAGATTTTATTTATTCATTTGAGAGATAGACACACACACAGAGCACAAGGAGGGGGAGAGGCAGAGGAAGAGGGAGAAGCAGAATCCCCGCTGATCTGGGAGCCCGACATAGGGCTCGATCCCAGGACCTGGAGATCGTGACCTGGGCCAAAGGCAGATATTTAACCATCTGAGCCACCCAGGTGCCCCTAAAAATAAATCTTAAAAAAAGAAAAAAAAAGTAGGATGCAGTCATCATGACACTTTACCCCTAAACGCCTAAAATATGGATCTTCTAGAAAAAAGACATTCTAATAAATAACCACAGTACCACTACTATCACACCTAAGAAAATTAACATTAATTCAACAATGCAATTGAATATATTCTCTATATTCAAATTCCTCCAATGGTCTTAAAATTGTCTTTTTTTTAAAAAAAGATTTTATTTATTTATTTGTCAGAGAGAGAGAGAGAGCACAAAAGCAGGGGGAGCGGCAGGCAGAAGGAGAAGCAGGCTCCCCGCTGAGCAGGGAGCCCAATGCGGGACTCGATCCCAGGACCCTGGGATCATGACCTGAGCCGAAGGCAGATGCTTAATGGACTGAGCCACCCAGGTGTCCCTTTTTTTTTTTTAAGATTTTAAAAATGTCTTTCATAAGCAGACTTTTTTCTCCTCTAAGGTGCAGTCTAATGAAGATTTACACATTGCATTTGGTTGTTATCTGCTTACTCCCTCTTAGCCAAGAAAAATCTCTGCCTTTTGGTGGTTTCCTTGACATTTTAAGCTAGTTTTTTTTTTTTATACAGGTTTTTTCCAAATTCTGGATTTGCTTGACTATTTCCTTGTTTAGATTCAGGAAAGAATTCTGCTTAGGGGGTGTTGTGCACCTCTTAGTGTGTAAGATCAGTGCCCATCGTCTTACCATTGCTGATGCCGAAGTTTGACTGCTTGGAAGAGTATGTCTACCAGGTCTCACCATGGTAAAGGTACATCTTCCTTTTGGAATTATTAACTGATCTCTGAGATGCTACTTTGAAGCCATGTGATTATTTTGTTCCCTACCATCCTTTCACTCAATAGCTTTAGCATCTGTTAATGATGGTACACTGAAGCAATTACTATATTGGCAGTTGCAAACTCCCTTATTCATCTACATTTACTAGCTGGCATGCTTTTGAATCACTGTGAACTCATAGATATTTTTACATTTCATTTAATGTGTTATAATCCATTTCCATCATTAATTTTTTGATGCCCAAATTGCCCAAATTTTGGCAACTGGGTGCTCCTAAAATCCAAGATTTCAAAGGTCTTTAAAAGCTAATGTATATGTCACAAAATATGATGGTTTAGGGGCCATGAAACTCTAAAAAGTAGACGATATTCATATATTATTAAATACTTTTTGGATAGTTTGTTGGCATAAAGTGTTTGCTACCTAAAACAAGTTCAGAAACAATCTGTTGACAATACCTTTGATACTCTTAGAAGCTATGTTGTAAAACATTTTCTTTGAACTTGATGTATTGTAATAGGACTTCTTCCTAAGTATACAAACGAATTTTGATCTTTATATATTATTTGAGTTTATAACAAGATTTTAAATGTCTTTAACCTAGCTTTCCAAAGTGGCACAGGAAGAGTCAGAAAATTAATACAGCTGCATTGGATGCTGGAAATTTCATCTCCTGAGCAATGCTGATGGAGTATAAGAATGAAGGAAACTCAGGGCGCCTGGGTGGCTCAGTCGTTAAGGGTCTGCCTTCGGCTCAAGTCATGATCCCAGGGTCCTGGGATCGAGCCCCACATCGGGCTCCCTGCTTTGCGGGAAGCCTGCTTCTCCCTCTCCCACTCTCCCGGTTTGTGTTCCTACTCTCGCTATCTCTCTCTGTCAAATAAATAAATAAAATCTTAAAAAAAAAAAAAAGAAAAAGAATAGAAGGAAACTCTAAGTAGCCCCCAAATAGATAGAATTGGGTTGGGTTGCAAGTCATAGAAGGCCAAACAATGGCTTTACCCTACGGGGACTAAATTTCTTCTCATGTAATAAACCCAAATGTGGTCAGTTCAGGGCTAATGCAGCTGCTCAATGATGTCGTCAAGGCTTCTTCTTTCTTTTTTACTTCACCATCCTTAGTCTGTCACTTTTGTCCCATTCTAAGATGGCTACTGAACTTCTAAGGTATTGTATCTGTGTCAGGAAGAAGAGGGAAGGGATAAGAGGTCAAACTGAATCAGTCCCTATCAGGAAATGTTCTCAGAAGCCCCAAGCAGATCCTTATGTTTATATCTTGTTGGCCAGAATTGGAACATCATGGTCCCTTTCCCTGCAAGGCAGTCTACAGTAGAAGAAAGTGAAGGAGAAGGGAGCTACAAAGAGCTTTTGGGCGCCAAAACACAGTATCTACAGGCTTGTAAATAGCTAGGTATCTTTAGTGAATATTTCACAAAAGTGACATCTAAATCAGTTACCATGGCCAACCAAAGTCTGTTGCCTTCCATTTATAAAGCAAAAATTTTTTGAGCATCTTCTATGTACAGTTACTTCACTGAGAATAGAAAGATAAAAGTGATATATTCTTCATTTGTTCTCTTTATAACATCTTTTTGAAAGTTCCAAGTAGTTAGTAAGTCCCATAGGACTCAGAGGACAAGCAGGTTTGCTCAGCTTTATGTTATCTCTTCACAAGTTTCACATGCAATCAAAACAGGAATTGAATCACACCATTAAGATAACTAGCTCAGTCAACTATTCAGTACTCTTTCACGTAAATGGTTCTCCTTCTGAAAAATTATCCTAAATTAAATTCATATTCAGATAGTCTTGCCAAACTAACTTCAGTAGCTTGGTTGGACCAGCATTATTTCCAATGTTTATGGTAACTTGTTAATGTTTATAGAATAATTATGATAGCCTGTATTATACTAAATGATAACAGAGTAATATTTGGGGTAAACTACTTATAAATATAACTTAAAATCTTAGTGATATCACCCTAATTCCTTGTCTGAATAGGCAAAGCATAAACATGTAGATTTCCTTAAAGAAAACTGTTGCATTAGGCTTCAAATTCCCTAAGATTTTCTAGATCAGAGATAGGCATACTATAGCCAAGGGGCCAAATCTGGACTGCTGTCTGTTGTAAATAAAGTTTTATTGGAACACAGCACACCACTTGTTTATGTATTGTCTTAGGCTGCTTTGTAACTACAACTGGCAGAGCTGAGTAGTTGTGATAGAGACGATTTGGCCCTCAAAGCCTAAAATATTTGCTATCTGGCCCTTTACAGAAAAAGTTTTACTTACCATTGCTTAGCATATATTAGGTGCTCAATCAATGCTTCTTGATTCATTGAATGAATGTATTCAAAGCTTTCACCTGGATATGATAAATCAACAAACCAACAAATCTAAACACAAAGCATTTAATACTTCCCCAATTTATCTGACATTTGCTTGTTTGATTGTAGTTTGCTATTGTTGACAGACCATATGCCTCACAAGGAGCCTCTTAATGCTTTGAGATTCCAGAATGCAAACTGCTCTAGGTCCAAGTTTTCAAAAAGTTGGCCTTTGGGCTAAATATGTCTCATTGACATGTTTTATTTGGCCCACACAATGTTGCTGTTGTTTGTTTTAAAAGTAGCATTAGCTGCCAACATTTAAAAATAAGGAGACTTCACATAATAATCTAAATTTCCAGCTTCTCTTGAAGATTTGAAAGATCAGGCAATGTGAGCATACAATTTGGTTAGGGCCATAACCACCTAGGGCTGAGCAGCTGTTGCCTCCCCAGATGGGGTAAGTGCTCCCCAGTTCCCCACAGTCCCCCACTCGCGATAGTCTTACCCATGGCTGACCCCAGCCAGGTACCTTAGACTTTTGTATTTGGGATCTTCACTCTAGGAGTATCATTTCCTACAAAGTCCCCTGAACTAGAACACTAGTCTACAGCTTCATCTTCTTGGATTGAAAATAGACTGGTACATCTGAAGACAAAACAGGAAAGAATGACAACGCTATTAAGACCGTTACCCTCATTCCCACTAGAACACAACTTTATTCCACCCCCTCTTTCCTTTTTCAAATGAGCTTGAGGACTCAACCTGCTTTCCTTCCAGCTATTCAGCTCCTTCCACCCACTCCATCCCCTGGAGTTGTTTACCCCAGCCCCTGGAGTGCTGTCTCCCCCAGTTCCTTGCTTCCTTGCTGCCCTTGAAAACAAACACCTTGGCCCTTTTTGTTTTTAGAGTTTTACTGTTAATCATTACGGGGCAACAGACAGGAAATAACAAGGAGGAAATCACCAAGTTAAAAAAAAAAAGTTATGGTTCTTACAGTCATAGTCCCTGATTCCCGTGATGAGGTGGTCCCTGGAGGTACCCTATGTTTATTCTCTCACCTTAGGTTCTCATCGCTGGTGGATTGTGTTTTATAGAGGGCCTAGAGATTCTGGAACATCCAAATGGTGCTGAAGAATCGCCTGGAGAGAATCGGAGCCATTAGGTGGCAGCACAGGGTATATCTTTTCAAGCCTTTCTACACCAGGCTGGCGGATGTGAGGCACCCAATTGTCTAGGAAAGGGTAACTTAGTGCCTGGTTAGGACAAGCACTGGGGCTGAGACCAGCAAGAGGAGAAGAGCCCCCCAAGAGGCTCCCAGGCACACTGCTGTCACGGAGCCAAGTGTGGAATTCTTGTCTCCCCTGCCTTTCCCTGATATGGTGATCAGAACCACAGACTCTTAGCGCTGATAAGAAGCTTCCAGTCCAACACCTTGATTATGCTGATAAGCAAACCGAGGTCCTGAGAGGCTGGACTGGCCTCCTATCGGTGCCAGGTCATGAGACCAGTCAGACATTTCTGTAGCTTCATTCGTGCCCGCCAATCCTTCTGGTCTGAACCTCCTGGTTCAAAAGCATTTACTGAAGTCTGCTTAGTATAGTCAAAGACTGATTTTCCTAGTTTTGAAGGTGAAACTAAGGTGGGGTTTTTGGCCTCTGACTGAGCAGGACTTCTTACAGGAAACAGAGACTTAACTGGACACAGGTCAACAAAAGTAAGCTTGGTTTCGGCCTCCACCTGCTTAACCCATCTGGGAGAAAAGTGAGGGCCCCTTATCCAGAAGGCGAGTTATGGCTCTCCACACTCTATGCAGGCTAGTGTGGGCTCTAGTTTATGGGATCAGCTAGTATTAACTGTGGCTCTTATCAAGAGTGGCCTAGCGTATCAGGGCTGGGCCATGCACACCCAAATAATTCACCAGTCCCCTCAAATGACATTAGTAAAACCACTCATACTGCTCGAATTTAAACACAAATTCAAACAATTGCATTATAACAGAATCATGTCCTCAGGCTTCAGTTAGTTTAGAGGGCAGTGTCATGACCCAAGGGAAGAGGACTTACCTTTGATCGTGAGGTAGCATTTACTTGAAGGGGTCAGGGTCTCACAGGAGAAATTTGGCTGGAACTACTACCAATAAAAAGTTTTACTTGTTTATGTTGAGGCATCATCCTGGGTGTTTTAGGGTCTTGCTACTCAAACGGTGGTCCTCCAACCAGCAGCAATACCTGGAAGCTGCTCAGAAATGCAAAATCTCAGCCCCATCCCATTCCTGCTGAATCAGCATTTTCATTTTAGCAAGATCCCCTATTGAGGCCCATGCATATTAAAGTTTGAGCTTTAGGACACCCTACAGAAATACACCCTCAAATAGTACCTACCTCAAAGAACTTATGGACTGATTTAAGAGCACAAACCACACATGTGAAAATGTCTTGAAAATGACCACTAAGAAATATATCATTAACGCCAGGTAGGCTGACCTAGGACATATAAAATACACACATTGCAGTGTTTTTATTTTGGTTTTTGTTTTAAGATTTTATTTATCTATCTATCAGAGAGAATGAGAGAGCATGAGCAGGGGGAGTGGCCGGCAGAGGGAGAAGCAAGACACCCCAGGGAGCAGGGAACCCGATGCGAGACTCGATCCCAGGACACTGGGATCATGACCTGAGCCGAAGGCAGATGCTTAACTGACTGAGCCACCCAGGCGTCCAAAACACACACATTTTGAAAGGGTGCAAAGAACGATTATGGCTAAGAGGTGTCAGTCTGTGAGGTGTCGGGTGGAGAGATTTTGATAAGCATGTATTAATGGAGAGGGAAAAGGACAGGGGAAGGCGTTTCAAGTGGAGAGATCAGGATAAAACCCAGGAGGAGGCAAAGTGTAAATCCTAAGCAGTGGCCTACAGATATTTTATGATCTTATGCAGGTCCCCAGACTCCCCTTGGATCCTTACAACATATCGCATGCTGCTGTGACTCCACATGCATGTAACCTCATCACATGTTATGTCTTTTGGTTTCGACAGGGGTTCTCATGGGAAGTCTTCAAATGTGCTCACCAACATGCAAACTTTTTTCCTTAGGATCAAATAGGCTGGTCCTTACCCTTTCCTTTCTTGTGCAGTTGGCTGTGATTTCTAGCTCTTCTTTTATAATCGGGTAAAAGGAAATTCCTTACATGTGCACTCTCCTAAATTGTTTGAGCCTTTCTAATGTGGTGCAAATCTTCGCTGTAAAGCTCTTAATCAGATCTCATAAAAGATTAGTCCAAACCGTGTTTTCAGTTTCTAGATAGTTAATCATCCTCGAGGGCCAGGAATTAACATGAAAATTGGAAACTTGTATTGTTCCCGTCTTTACATCCAGATTTAGTTTCAAAGCCAAAGTGATTGCACAGAAAATGAAATCCAGTTTCAGTGTTTATTTTCCAAATGAGCTGGTGTGATTGTATCCCTCTCTTCTTCACACACATATCTGATAACCCAAAGAGTTGACCCAGGGGTGAAACACAGTGGGCATGAAATGAGAGTGTAAGAGCGCCTCCACTGGATGACCAAGGGAAAGCTGTCCCGCCAGCTTCCTGGAGCCGCACAGGTCAACTGGAGATTCCAGAAAAGAAATATGATAATCTGAGGAGATAACACCCTTTATATAATTCTTTAGAATAATTCCACCATAAGCTCAAGGGCTCTTCCCCTTCTCTGAGCGCTGTTGGGGGTCACTGAAATCAGGCTGGAGGCCCGAGTCTGTCCAAGTGGATGTCGGTCCGCCCCTTGGCTTCAGGACTGCAAATTCCTTTGACCAGCAACACTCTGGCAGGGAGGACCTCGACTGCCCAGGAGCAGCTGACTGCTCATCTCTGTCACAGTCCATCAGCAAGCAGCTTGTCACCAGCTGCCCGGTGCACCCAGAAAAAAAATGGTTCTTATATTCAGAGAGATAATTTGAGTTGATAGGAATAGCATCAGGGGAAGAGAATGGCATCACCAAATCAATACTTGAGCTTCACAGATTAATATCTTGGCTCTGGCTCTGAGTTTATATTCAGGAGGCCCTTGCTCCCAGAAAGAGACACTAAATGGAACAGACATTTCATTCCCAACAACAGCAAATTCCCTTTTCTTAATGAGGAGTCAACTAGAGACTTGATACATTAAAGAAAATTCATTGAGAACATCCATTAGCTGTGAATTTTATGTTTATTGTGGCACACCTTTGGGAAATAATATGGAGATGCTGGGAGAAGGGAGCTGCATGCCTGGTATGAATGCTGATTATAGGAATGAATCTTTCTACATCCATGTTCACAGAAGCATTATGCACAATAGCTAAAACAGAAGTAACCCAAGTGGCCGTTGATGGATGAATGGTAAAAAAGAAAATGTGGTAGACACATACAATGGAATGTCATTCAGCCTTTTTTAAGGAAGGAAACGCTGATACAAGCCACAACATGGATGAACCTTGAAGACATTATGCTAGGTGAAATAAACCAAATATGAAAAGGACCAATACTGTACGATTCCATTTATATGAAGCACCTAGAGTTCATAGAGACAGAAAGTAGAATGGTTGTTTTCAGGGCCTGGGGCGAGGGGGCGATGGGATTTATTATTTAATGGGCACAGAGTTTCAGTTTAAGAAGATGAGAAAGGTGGGGTGCCTGCGTGGCTCAGTCGGTTAAGCGTCTGCCTTCGGCTCAGGTCATGATCCTGGAGTCCCGGGATCGAGCCCCGCATCGGGCTCCCTGCTCAACGGGGAGTCTGCTTCACCCTCTCCCTCTGCTCCTCCCCCACTTGTGCTCTCTCTCCTTCATTCTCTCTCTCAAATAAATAAATAATAAAAATCTTAAAAAAAAAAAAAGAAGATGAGAAAGTTCTGGAGATGGATGATGGTGATGGTTGCACAACAATGTGAATGTACCTACTGCTATCGAACTGCACACTTAAAAATGGTTGAACGGTAAATCTTTGTTATGTATATTTTGTCACAATAAGGGAAAAATGAATCTTTTATCCAACAGTCAGAGAGCAAATCTTTTATTTAAAAGAATCTCAACATCATTGGTTCCAAGGAGATTTCTTGGAAAAGTTCAGTGGAGTACAAGTGGTTTAACCCCTGATTGAGTTTACTGTGGGACATAAATTTATAATCATAGAGGTTGACAAACTGATTACATATCAATCGGCCATGCAAAACAACACAGATTGCAACATGGTGACATAAGATTTACCAGCTAAGCAGTTTTCCTATCTTGTAGATCAGGGCTTTTCAAACTTGAATGTGTATGGGAATCACCTAGGCATCTTGTTAAAAATGCAGATTCTGATTTAGTAAGTTTGGGTTGAAGCTTGAAATTCCACTTATCTAAAGGGACCCCATTTTAAGTAGCAAGAGTGTAGATCTCTCTTCAGTTAAGATTCCTGGGCGCCTGGGTGGCTCAGTTGGTTAAGCGACTGCCTTCGGCTCAGGTCATGATCCTGGAGTCCCGGGATCGAGTCCCGCATCGGGCTCCCTGCTCGGCAGGGAGCCTGCTTCTCCCTCTGACCCTCCCCCCTCTCATGTGCTCTCTGTCTCTCTCATTCTCTCTGTCTCAAATAAATAAATAAAAAAAAATCTTTAAAAAAAAGATTCCTGTCCACACCTTGGAGGTAACGCCCCCCCTCCTCAAAACTGAACATAAGCATCTCCAGGTTTGAGTAAAGGAGAGTCTCTGGGTGGTATTAATTGTTTCTGGGATTCTCTCACTTTGCTTATTACTACCATCAAAATTCACGTTTCTGGGATCTACAACCCCTTCTTTTTCTTCAGCCCAAGCATGGACAAAACATAAATAAATCACTTGCCCTTTAGGTATAGGCCAGATCAGCTGCAATTTCCAAAATCATGCTCACAGGAAAGAAGGAGAAAGGAAGGAAAGAAGGAAGAAAGGAAGGAAGGAAGGGAGGGAGGGAGGAAGAAAGGTAGACAAGCTGTCAAAACAGACAGAAGGAGGGAGAATGGAAAATGAGACAAAAACTAAAAGCACAAGAATTCTGAAGTCCTCTATAAGAATCCTTCAGTGACTATCCATTGTTTTCAGGCTAAAAGTTCAGACTCCATAGGAAGGGCTTATCAGGGCCTGATGAGGTCCCTCTCCACCTGTCCTAGCTCCTCTCTTGCCATTCCCCTCCACGTTCAGCCACAATGAATTCTATTCTTCCTTGCCTTTACAGTTCCTCTCTTCTTGATCTGGAACCTCATCCCCTCCTTGTATCACCTGGCTCAGGCATTGTCTCTTCTGAAAAGACTTCTCTAACCATGTTGCCACCGTCATTTCCTCCCCTCTGTGCTGGGTTGTCTTTCTCTGCCTTCAACTGCACACAGCGCTTACCTCTATCATAATACTTCACAGTTATGTTTTAATTGTATTGGACTGTGAGCTCTTTGAGGGGTGGGAAGATGTCCTTTGTCCCTAGCACAGTGTCTAGAACATACGAAGTGCTCAAACAGTGTTTGCTGGAAGAATGAGCAAATGCAAAAGAACTGTAACATTGTGTGACATTTGAAGAAGACATTGCTTAGTTCCTAAAACACCATGAAGTTGCCCTCAGAATGACTTTCCTAAAGGTCAAACACGCTGACACCAATTTCTGTGTTCCAGCAACTGCAACTAAACTCCCCTAATTCTGATAAGTTGTATTATCCCAGCTTCCTCATTTTATAGTATCCTCTGGAAGACCAAATGCAAAGAAATACACATGGTGGTAACAGTAGTTTTTTAAATGGAATTTAGTGGAAGGCTGGAATCTCTTTGAATATTAGTATGCTGCTTGCATTCTTCTTATTGCCAGTTTGGCCCTAAAGTAAGTCTGTAAAATTGCAAAGACTCCAAATTGGAGGTCTCTGGGCATCTAGGTGTTACTAGCAACTTCCAGATTGGTATATTTATGCATGTATCTGAGCATTTTTCATAGTTTCTGCCTGCTTTATGCAAAGTACTATGCCAGGGGCTGTAGGGAACTCCTCCTGCCCTCAAAATCTTTGCCCTTTAGTGGCCTGGTCTGTGCTATTTAATTTCATGGTCTCAGCACCCACCTATCCCCTGGTCAACCTCTAGCCTCCATTTTTCCTGTCAACTCTAGACAGATGTTTCTAATAGCCACGGAGCTTGCCCACGTGAATGTCATGCACACATCTTAAAGGCAGTATGTCCTTATCTTTCCTCCCAAACCTGTTCTTCTTCTACTAGCTACTCTGGTTAATAGAACCCTCATTTCCTTATCTACCCAGGCTATTGATTCCTAAGTCAAGATTTTTTCCTTTCTGACATCATCCCCATCAATCAATTATCAAGTCTTACTGATTCAATCTCTCAAGTCTTCCTGAATCCATTCTGTTCCATCTTTTTCAACTATCACGACTTATCACTTCTCATCTAGATTATTGAAATAAGCTTCTTGCTGCTTTCTTTGCCTCCAATCCTTCCCCAGGATAACCCTTCCTGTAGACTGCTGCTGGAATGTCTAAAGCCCAAACCTAATATTGT